ATTTCTGGCTAATTTGTACTAGTACCTATTAACATAACACATTCTCATTATAATAATGGCTCAATTATTTGGAGCGTTTTATATTGTAAGTAAACATCCTTGAACATTTGGATGGTTTATACTAACAATATTATTTTTGTCAACACGGCCTTACATTATCAAAATAATCTCAAGTCTCAAATTCCATCTCCGCTATCACGAATAATGAATAATATTCACCCATAATTTCAAATTTTTAGACGAGCTAGCTCGTTGTTGTTTGTGGACGTGACATGTTGTTTTCTGTTATTTTCTCGCATAAATATAACTGACAAGTGGCATGGCTTATGGTTTTGAAAAAAATAAAAAATAAACACACCGCATTACCCGTTCCCAAGTCAGACAAATTAGTCTCTTTGTGTCACCCTACGGTTTATCATAATAAATAATAATAACATAACAAGAAACGTTAATAATTCCCACAAGCGTTGACAATCAACATTGGCCTTTTATTTTAAGAGAAGATTATATTTCAACTTTTATACCCTAGTTGGCCTTCGTATATATATAGTGTACATATTTAAAGAACTTATTTGCAAGAGTTTAATCTATCTTGACATTCTCCCCTACTTCCTTCCTAATCCCTTTTTATAAACTCCCCTGCTTCTGCAACTCTTTCAAATATTCTTTTGGATTTATTTATCTATAAATCTCGACGACTGCTTTTTATTTCTTTGTAGCTACTTGAATATTTCAAGCGTTCTTTTTTTTTTTGTTCTCTTCAACTATAATCCTCTTGCATGAATATCTCTTATTTGTGTGAACTTATATTTACATGAATAACACCATGAGGCCTAGGATGAAGATCCAGTTTCACTTGGCTTACGACAGAGGTTAGCTTAAATCCTACATATATTTTACGTAATACGTGTTTTTTTCTCATTAATTTCTGTTGGGAATAAAAGCAAAAATGGATTTCAACAAAGCTGAAAAAGGAAAGAAAGGATTAATCCCAAAAACATGGGAGAGATGTAAATCTTTTGGTCGAAAAAACTCATCAGAAAATCGACATGCTCTGACGACAAAAAAGACCAGAAAAAGAGTTCGAGTTGCTACAGAAGGTTGTTTCTCGATCTATGTCGGACCACAGAAGCAAAGATTTGTGATTAGGACTGAGTATGTGAATCATCCCATCTTCAAGATGCTGCTTGAAGAAGCAGAATCAGAGTTTGGTTATAACAGTAAAGGTCCTCTGGTCCTCCCTTGTGATGTTGATATTTTTCTCAAGGTTTTGATGGAAATGGACTCTGATGAGATTGGTCATCCTCGTCGTGGTTGTAGCTTTGCCAGGACTTATAGCTCTTATCACCTCACTCCAACAAGATTTGTTGCCATGAAGAATGAGCTTTCCTTTTAACCAGATATATCAAGTTAATTCTCTAATTATGTTTTACAAACACATTGTACGCATTGTCTTCTTTAGCCCAACAAATTTGTCCTTGGGTTATGTGATCGTGCCAAAAGTATGTGTACCATATGAACGTGTATGTTTTATATGTCACTTCACTTGCGCCCTTTTCCATTTCAATGAGAGATTTGCTTAAAGTAGTGTTATATGCAACCCGCTTGCTAGCTAGCCTAGAAGTCTGGCAATCCTTCTCCTTGATCCCGTCCTCATCAATCTGTCCTCCGTCATGAGAATTGTAATTTCAAGCGAAGATGACCTCAGATGGTTGTTGTATGGATATCATGAACTGACTATAAGGTTAATATGCCTGTGTTTACATTTTTACATGGATTTATAGTTCTAGAATCTTTTTCTCCCTTCATTTGTAAAGTTGCAGACTAGTATTTTTATATCCTACCACGCAAGTGGGCATTCTATACAATTGTACCATACAGAAAAGTAGTGGTATTTGTGTTAAGAGATTAGTGTGCTTCACTTCTGATCATGTTGAATGAATATCAGAAGTGAAGCACGCAAATCTCTAACGCACAATATATATATATATANTCTGTGTACACTGAGCAAGAAAAGTTAAGAAAATATTGCATTTTGCTTCTTGACAGTTAACCATAATAAATTTTGATTATGATATACTTATGGATTCTTGAATATTTTCTTTCTAGCATCTTTATATAATCTCCAAATGTTTTATTTTATTCGCAAATGACAATTTTATGTTAGCAATTATATGTGCCCCTCATTGGCTGTGCAAGTGTTTTCAAAAAACGACTACAAAGCGTTACTCCAGACGCTTTAAACATCACTCCCTCCGTCCCTCGAGCCGATCTGAGCTTCTCTCTAAATTCAAACCATTAAATTACTATTTTTGATTCGGACTCACTCCTTAGACTATTGAGCCTTATGCTCAACCTGTTCTCTATCTCTCAAATGCGGCTGTGGGGTATTATTTGAGAATATATTTGTTTCTCCTTGGTTGTACTACAAAGAGGTTTATAATGATCGTGGGTACTGTTTGATTCAAAAGATATCGGAATTTTTTTGAATAAATCAATAAAAAAATAAAGAGGTAAATCTTAGCTGAGTATAATAACCTCCAGAACAAAAGATATACAGGATGACTACAAAGGGTGATACTTCTTGACCCTATCAAGATGAATCACCAAACGATAATGATCTCAATTGTTTATGTGAACAAGTGTTAAAAGGAGTGTTTTGAGTTGGGAGAATGTCCAGAGAGAGCCCTTACAAGGTTGTTTTCTCGCTATATATATAAGAGACAAAACCTTTCTAAGTCCTAAAAGACAAGTCGTAGGGAATATTCGAGAGAATATTCCTAATGCTCCCTAATGGACCTACACTATTGCAAAAATTGTACGGCCTCTTGTTCGCTCGCTCGTCGTCTCCTATGGGATGTCGAGCTACGAGGATCTCGTCGCTTGTCGTACTCATCAACGGTCTTGGTCGTCCAAATTTGGACCGATACAGTTAGTCCCTCCGCTTGTCGAGGTCGCAACTTGGTGCGTCCTCGATGAGCTGACATCACTCGCTCTTATGGAGAAATTTGGTCTCACGAAGCGTCACGGCTTGGCCAATAATGGGCGGTCAGCGTGCTCAACAAGACACCGGATAGTGTATTTTACCGGGAAATGACGTCATCTCCACGTGCGTCATCATTATGCGTGTTTTCGAGATAGGGGTTGATGGCTTGTCGCTTCAAGTTCGGTGCCGCTCTGCAACCTTCCGTTTCGATCCTGGCGCCACCCAATCCTATATTTTTTCAAAAACTCTTGGCCATTTCATTTCCGGTTAGCCTTTCTCATCCCTCCCGAGTTCGTTCTAACAACCTTCTGCTTCTTCTTCTCCCATTCTTCGCTCATAACCTTCTCTACTGTTCTAACACCTTTTTCATCAAAAGGAATGTCACGAACACATCGATCTCGTGAGGGGGTTTTTGAGGCCGTCCCGTTGTCTGTAGTGCCCCCTTCCGGCGGTGAGGATATGATGGTGGGAGAGGGGGATTGTTTTCCCATGGTGGAGGAGTTGCTGCCGAGGCACCCCATGTCTCGAAGCGACTTCTTCAAGAATCCTCCTCCTACTCCTACCCCCGTGCTCTCTGAAACAGAACAAGTTCATATTGACGCTCTCCGTACAAAGTATAGCATCCCCGCTCATGTTGACATGGTCTTAGCGGGAAGGGATTTTGTGGAAGTCTATAGACCTGGGTACTGCGCTTTTTAAGAGTACCCTTTCGCGATAGGTCATTCTTTCCCTTTCCCTCCATTAGTGGAGGAGTTCTGTAGATCCTACCAAGTTTTCCCGGCACAACTCTCACCATACACGCTTAAGATACTCCTCATGTTGACAAAGTATGCGAAGTTGGCAGGATGTGAGGTTACTATCCACCACCTCTTGCACCTATTCTCGCCCAACTTCCACAGGGGCACTATGGTGCATTTGAGACATCGTGGAACAAAGGGGCTGGTGGTTGGGACCGACGACCGAGCAAGTCGCAAGTTTTGGCATAAGTACTTCTTTGTCAAAACTGAACACATTGTTTCTGATCCCGCCAGGTTCCCCGAGCGATGGAACGAGACTCGAAAGTGTCGCCACATATTTCACTATTTCTTTTATTCTTCATTTATCATAGGATTTGTTTGTTTCTTATTTGTAGCTATGAGACGTCCACCCCACCCTGTTGCGGGTATAAGGGATTGGGTAGCCCATTTGTTGCCCCATGTAGTGGAGACCCGAGATTGGCCCGCCTTCGTAAAATGTTACGGCCCGAGAATTTCATCTGGTAAACATTTTCCCTTGTATCATTTCCTCGGTTATACATCGTCGTCTATTGATACGACTCTTTATAACGACAGGTCGAGGAGCTTCCAGGCGGAAGGCACCAGTCCCTGCACTCCAACAGGCTGTCGCTGCTGCAGGAATGCAGTTTACTTTGACTGAATCTGTTCGAGGGGGTTGTTCTCAACCCATTCAAATGGAAGGTCCCTCTCGGGATATGGTAGTGAGAGAGGAGGCTTCTTCCGTACCAACCCCTCACCTCTTGGACGAATTCTCTAACGGGGACGAGTCGTTACTGAGAAAAAGGAGGAGAATGGAGCTTGGGAAGGATGTGGCCGTGGACGCCGGTAGAAGTAGGGCGTCACAGACGGCACGTGTACCCACATTTATGGTCGACGCCATCTTAGCGGGAAGGTCTCCCCAAACGAAAGGGATTTACCAAGGGGCCGGCTCCGTGCGCTCCGCTGAGGGTGGCACGTCATCCAATATTGGAGGAGGTCGGCATGTCGAAGGCGAAGGCTCGGGTTCAGATGTCGACCCGGAGGACGTTCGCGAGTTTGTAGGTTGCCATACTCATGTGGAGGTCAGAGTGGAAGGGTCTGATCATCACATAGTTGTCCCGGGGGACTACAACCTGTTGTCGAACTGCGATCAAGTGGCATCTGTTTTAGCTCCTCTATGTGTTGCCCCTGAGAGCGAGGTACTTAGAGGGATGAGCGACATGGAGTTGTCTTAGAATGTCGCCGACATGGCCTTGTGGGTAGGTGTCTTTCTTTTCCTTTTTGTCGTTGGGCTTGCGTTGTTATTGTCGACTTGTCTTTTTGTCTTAACTTCTTTCTTTTTGTGCTAGACCCTTATCATGGAGACCGAGCGCGAGCGCCGGGAAAGAAAGAGGATGGCCATCTACGGGATGATGTCTTCCAAATATTAATAGTATCGGGCTAAGCGTTGTGCAATGGCTGACATTCATAATCAGGACCCTAATTTTCAATTGTTCCGCGAGGGACTCAAACAGAGTGAGGACCAACTGGCGCGCAAGGTCGAGGAGCTGAGGGAGCGAGATGAGGAGCTTATGAAGGTTGTTGCCCGCAACAGTGAACTTGAGGCCTCCCTTAAGGTGAAGGAGGATGAACTTGAGTTAAGCAGGGGGTGATGGCCAAGAATGCCGACTTGCAAGCAAAGGTGGCCAGTTTGACCATTGAATTAGGTACGAAGGCGGTGGAGATTGAGGGGCTTAAGGGCAAACTGAGTGTCGGTGCTGATAAGCTGGCAACTACTACTTCTGGAACGGTGGCCTTGGAGAATACCCTCCGTGTTTGTAGGTCGGAGCTGACCGAGGATAAGGAGGCATCTAAGCTTAAGGTAGCGAGGCTTGAGGGGCGTGCTAAGGAGTTGGAGGCGGAGCTATAGTATTGAATGTGCAAGTGGCCTCACTAAGAACGGAGGATGCAAGTCGACGCTCACAACCTTCTAAGTCTCGTGCCTCATCACTTATATGAGTTGTGGGTCCATGCCAAGGCCCGGCTTGACGTCTAAAAGGTTTTTAATGCTGGGGGAGGGCATCTGAAACATAACTTCAGGGTGTGCATACCGAAGCTCGTGCAGCTCGTGAGGCATGCGGGTACGATCCTCTTACACCTGATAGGGATGACATCAACTCTGATGATGCGAACTGTCTTACTTTTGACTCTTGGTATGAAGATGCGAATCCAACCGGGGATGATGTGTAACTTTTTGTTTGTACTTACTTTTTGCTTTGGGAGTTTTGTAAGGGCATGCTTGAGCCCGTTGTAAAGATAGGTGTAAGTAACATTTTGAGGTAATGTAGAATTTTTTTTGACGATTCGGTGATGATCTTTGTAATATCTATGGTATCCAGGGTACTTGTCAAACTATTAAGCCGATTTTGCTTTGGGTAAGGTCGATCCCTTTTTCTTTTGGCAATGGATTTAGCCTCTGGGATGCTACTTTTGAACGGTCGTCAAAGTGGGATACTGTCGTAGATCGAGTGAAGTCGAACTTACATTTTTGTCGATGGCCTTGGCCATTGGGATGTTACTTTCGAACTGGCGTCGAATTAGGATCCCGTCATAGTCCGAATGAGGTCGAACTCATATTTTTGTCGATGGCCTTGGCCATTGGAATGTTAATTCGAACTGGCGTCAAAGTAGGATCCCCTCGTAGTTCGAATGAGATCGAACTCATATTTTCGTCGATGGCCTTGGCCATTGGGATGTTACCTTCGAACTGTCGTCAAAGTAGTATCCCGCTGTAGTTCGAATGAGGTCGAACTTATATTTTCGTCGATGGCCTTGGCCATTGGGATGTTACTTTCTAACTAGCATCGAAGTAGGATCCCGTCATAGTTAGAATGAGGTCAAACTCATATTTTCGTCGATGGCCTTGGCCATTGGGATGTTACTTTCTAACTAGCATCGAAGTAGGATCCCGTCATAGTTAGAATGAGGTCAAACTCATATTTTCGTCGATGGCCTTGGCCATTGGGATGTTACCTTCGAACTGTCGTCGAAGTATGATCTCGTCGTAGTTTGAATGAGGTCGAACCCATATTTT